ATTTGGCCAGGGCATGAATCGCCCCGTGTGTGGGTACTTCTCGGTCTCGTAGACGATAACCATTACGTATCTCTGGGCGGTGCGATTATAAATTCCTTACGGACTTCGTCAACTCAGGAGCCCTGGTTGACTGAATTAGGGCAACGTGATATGAGTTCCGCACAGTTGAATGACCCTACAATAGGCCCAGTCCTTAAGGACAAGCTGGCTCAGAAAGACAAGCCGGACAAGACCGCTTTGGCCGATGCCAGTCGGCATACCCTCGAACTATATAAGGACTGGGACCTGTTAGAGGTACACAATGGTATCCTGTATAGAGTTGGGCCCCAAAAAGACAACCCCACTCAGAAGCAGTTACTTGTCCCCAGAGTATTGGTGTCCAAAGTCTTAAGTTGTGTCCATGACAGTCCCGCAGGTGGTCATCTCGGAGTGGATAAGACTAAAGAAAAGTTACTGAGGGGGTTCTATTGGCCTGGGCTCACCAAGGATGTGATTGTGCATGTTACCTGTTGTGACATTTGTGCCAAGACTAAGGGCGGGAGGCGACGTCCTCGGGCCCCTCTACAACCCAGTGCAGTGGGCTACCCGAACAAAAGGATAGCAATTGACGTAGTAGGCCCCCTCCCAAAAACTTCATCAGGTAATAAGTAATGTTTTGGTGCTCTCCGACTATTTTACTAAATGGGTAGAAATATTCGCCATACCTGATGAAACAGCGTCTACGGTTGCTAGGGTCATATTCGAAGGCTGGGTGTGCGTCCATGGGCCCCCAGAACGGATCCATACGGATCAGGGCCGTAATTTCGAGTCCACCCTGATCGCAGAGCTATGCAAGTACATGAGGATTGGGAAGACACGCACTACTCCGTATCACCCTCAGTCCGATGGCATGGTCGAGCGTTTCAATCGAACGTTAGGAAACATCCTAAGGGCGTATGTCAGTGCAAATCAGAGGGATTGGGATGTTCATCTCCCCATGGTGAAGTTCGCTTTTAATACAAGTGAACACTCTACCACCAAATTCACACCCTACTTTATTATGCATGGTCGTGAGGCTCGGTTGCCGGTAGAACTCATGTTTGGCATCCCCTCTGCAGTATCTGCTCCAGTGCAGGAATACGTCAGAGATATGGTGGACAAATTTCCCCAAATTTTCAAATTTGTGTCCGACAACACTAAACAGGCAACCAAACGCCAAAAAGAATTGTTTGATAAAAAGGTCTATGGCGCCCCCTTCCAAGAAGGGGACAAGGTCCTGGTGGCCAGAAAAGCGGTAGGTAAGGGCCTCGCCAGAAAGTTGGCTCACAGGTACGATGGGCCCTTTATTGTTGTTGAACGGGTTGGCGAAAATGCCTACCGCATCCGCAAGCCCAGGTCGAATGATGGCAAAGTTGTTCATTTTGAAAATATTGTGCCCTACAGAGAAAGGGAGGAAGATCCTGATTATCTTCCTCCTCTCCCACGAAGGGCTAGACATCATGTAATAACCCCGGCGACCCGAGCCGGAAGGCGAGTCCGCCGGCCTGGGGGTTTCGTACCCCCGCCTGTTGTTTCAGATGATAGCAGCCTGTCAGACAGTGATGACGACACCCTCGCTACAGAGGCCACGATCCAGCAAGCCGGTGCCCCGACCGCGGGCAGTGACGATGACCCCTCCAACTCCGAGGACGTCGGGGATGCTGGCCAGTCTGACATCGCAGACGTGGGTGACGTCTCTCAGCACGCTGTTGGCAACTTGAGCGACGGCGTCCAGCAGGTGGTTCCAGCCCTGGCGGCGGACGACGCAACAGGTGTCCTGATGGAAAGTGACGCGTCTGATGGGGAGACAGCGCAGCCTCCAGGAGGGGAGCAAACTGTTCCTGTGGAGGCATCGGGCAGTGAGGACGAACAAGACGACGCTCCTGCACCACGGCGGTCAACACGCTCCTGTCAACCCCCGGTCCGATATGGGTTCCATGTGAACAGTATAGACACTGATAGGAAACCCAAGACTCTGTCTGATATGCATCCATTGAAAAGAACATGCAACAACGCCAAGTCGTGCATTCAGAGGTCCACACGTGGCTCAGGTATCGAAGGGAGGTGTCCTGAAGTGGTACGACAGGTGCCTCGTCCATCTACTCCGGGTCAGCGGGAGATAGGTAAGGGGACTTGGGCGTCAGACATGTTCGTGGGGTCAGTACTGGGCAGCACACTTCAGTTCTTGTTAGCCTAACAGGCAGAGGACAGAACAAGAACTTATTTCCATACATAAATGGCACTACTGGACACAGAAGCTGTTTGTCATGTGTCCTTGGTCCGTAGTGGCCAACTACAGCCACCTGTTTGCAATGGAAATACATTGGCAGTGAGCGTTCGAGTATCTGTAAGCCCTTCCGGTAGAAAGCGATGAGATGTTTCATCGTGCCGGCACAGCTGATCGGTTGTGTCGGGGCGGAGAAAGGCCGTGCCTAGTAGCTTCATAGAAGCTAGCTAGGGAGAGGTACGAGGGTAGCTTCGGCGTGAGTCCGTTGGACCCCCTCTCCAAGAGGTCTCCGCTCTTAATGGTTGGGCTGAGGTTGCGAAATGCAATACTCTACAGGCTGTCGCCACTGTAGGCTGCTTAGCTGGTGTCAGCCTAAGGGACAAGATTCCCCTGGTTCGTTTTATGCTGTTCCACACCCCACAACGTGCTCTGCGTCTAACCCCGAAGCCTGTGCTAAGTTGCCCTCAGTAGTCCGTCGAGTCGCAAACCTGAACTCCAGGGCTGTCCAACAAAAAGTTTGTTACCATGGTGACATGTCACTCGATGCCTGAACTAGTTGTGTATTCTGTACAATGCATTGTCTTGGCTTCAGTTGATTAGTGGATTTCAGTTGTGTAGTGGTTCTATTGTTGTTTTGATGGATTGTTGTTGTGTTTGCATCTGTAATAGATGTACCAATCATTGAGTATGTTATTTAGAGTATATGTAGTAAAGGTGCAGGAGCACCACTTTTTTCAAAGGAGGGGGTAGATGTAACGCTTGGTGGCCAGCCTAATAATGTGTCAAAATGTATCATGTGCCAAAATGCATTATGTATATCACTTGTACTTCACATTATTGTACTTCTGTAAACATCTTGCCCGTCTGCCAGTATTAATATGCACCACAAAGAAGTGGCTAGACAAGCCCAGTTAACACCTATATGTGGGCTGCCGTATTGTCTACCAATCAAGGTCAGAGTCGGTTATACGCATAATTAGGATAGCTTAAAAGGCAGGACACAGTCGTGTGTCGTGAGTGATTACGAGAGAGTCTAGGCGGAGTGACTTCTGAGTGTCCTGTGTCCGTTCCAACTGAACAAGTAAGTTCTTAGCCATTTGTCTATAAAAAAGTACACAACGCAATGTCCGATTGTTAATGTAACTGAGGCTCTTGTTAGTTGTCAGGAACTGTAGAAGAAAGCTTGGATATCTTGTCGTTACAAGGCTGTGGTTGTTTATTATTGTGTTACACTGTGAATAAATACACTCCTCCGAGAGCAGAATCCAGTATCCGAATCGTGTTTGCTTGAATGTTTAGGTTAAAGCTAACATAGAGCAAAAAGGCTATTGTTACAGGATTAACACAACTAACTACGCTTCACAAATAATTTACCGACAACGTTTGACGAAGAGGTAGCGTGCCAGCTACGATTAAGAACAGAATTAAAATGGCTCGCTGCACCGCACAGAAAAAGACATGCAAATTTCAACCCAAACACTTCAATCAAACTACCTTCTAGTCAACATATGGCATTCCGAAACTGCACTGGAACATTTTTGCTGAGGTCAACATACGTGAGCAGCAAAGGATGAATTCAATCTCACACCCTCTCTCAGACTATTGAGGAGAAATATTACTTCATTAACAGGCTAATACACACACATTGCTTCATTTCTAGGCTGGGTACTGCTTATGTCAACAAATACATCAAGTCTGGTGGTGTTGATATAGCACAGAGCACAGGGAAATTTGTGTTGAGGACAACAACAACAACAACCAAAGCATCAAAACACTTGTAGCATGTCTGCATGCTACTAGTGTCTTTTCCTTCAATATGTTCAGTTTTCAAATAGTCTTTTATAAATCATGTCATGTTTTTTTAGACATATGGGTACAATCTGTGATGCAGAGACTACATGTAAGTTGAACAACAGTCAAAATACCAAATTTTACAAGCAAAACATTTCTCAGAAATATGGCCGTCTCAAAGAGAACTGGACCATAATAATTTTGATATCTCGACATGTAACTTACAAGGTGGTGTAGACAAAAACTAGATGAGTATCTCCTAAATCGGGATTCGAACCCGTGACCGGGAGAATTTTTTAACAACTAGCAGAGCCCTATCAGAGGGGTGACCGAGAAAGGGCCTGTGAAGGACAAAGAACAACATGTTGGCGCATTGCACCATACTCCACATTTCGCAATCCTACGAAACAACAATTCGATCGCAAAAACCCCGTCTCCACAGCCTTGTTTTTCAAACCTACAACCTCGCAATTCTTGCTGATAAAACCTAGAAAAAACAGATGTAGATTCCACGATGTACCAAACAGCTGACAGCGAGACAACGGGCTAAAACTGAACAACAAGCAGAAAGAAATCTGAGTCGGTAGAAAAATGAATGAAAGGTTTTTCTCTCCTTACGCCCCACATGCAGTTACGACTTTTCTTCCTAGCAACGTCTTGTTCTGACTATCTAAAACACCACTTAGGGAAGGTTTAGGGCTACCTGGGACGGTAGAAAGGCGGTGGGAGGTTGTAGAAGTCACTGGGAGGCTTGTAGAGAGGCGGCGATCGCCGTAGAGGGCAGAAATACCAACAGGGAAATGCTAGTCGTAGGCAGGAATGCGGGCTGGGCACTGTCGGCCGGAAACTGGCTCCAACCGGCGAACGCCGTTTTCTTTCACAAGGCACGTGCCCAAAAAAACGCCCTGAAATCACCCCTACACACAAACTTAAGGTTTTGTACCAAGAAGGAGCGTCTACTTACCATAATACCCTTACACATTAGCCTTAGGTGTCGCTGGGGAAGGCAACAGAGAAGAAAATTGAGGTAACACGATGTAAGAACGACCTGAGCTCGAGACTCCCTCCCAACAACCGACTCAAAATGGACGATCGTGACGTCACGACCGGCCGGTGCGCAGGCGCGGGAAGCCCAGGGGTCACACGTCACAATCCTTACACTGAACCTTGCGTCAGAAAAACGTGTTTTTTTGTTGTAAAAACCTTTTTTTCCGTCATAGAATAACGACAAAACCAGCGTTTACAACTCATTTTACCCACATAGAAGATAATTTCAAACACTGAAACGTTTTCAAGGACAAAGAATCCACGTCACAAGCCTTACCGGCACATACCCTGGCACTTGCGTCAGAAAAACGTGTTCTTTTTATGATCTTTTATAAAGAGCACTTTTTCGTCATGAAGGAACATTTTCAACTCTTTCTTACGCACATAGAAGATAATTTCAAACAGAGAGACGTTTTCAAGGACAAAGAAGCACACGTCACAACCCTTACCCTACACTTGCGTCAGAAAAACGTGTTCTTTTTCAAAAGACCATTTTTCCGTCACAAAGAGAGAGCAAAACACCATTTTCAACTCTATCTTACGCACATAGAAGATGATTTCAAACATATAAACGTCTCCAAGGACAGAGGAGCTTTAATAGAACCCTTTCTTGGCTCTGATGGCGAAGGCTATCAGTAAGGTTGTTATGGCAACGGGAAAATACGCACTGTGCGGAAAGATTCAGAGATAACTGTTACAGTTTGACGCACGTTCGGACTGCCTTAGAGGTAGGGACATGAAAGTGCACACGTAGCACATGGGCTTCCGGTTTCAGTTGAGTTGGCTACAAGCGGCGTACGTACCCTAAACAATGGCCATAGGGTATGAAAAGACCAGGGCCATGTAATACAACTCTGATCATTGGTGAATCCTTTTTTTTTGTTAGAATATGCAGTATTGCTTTTCTACGTGATAAAGAATTACTTGCAATATAAAACTGACAAATGTTGTCGTTGTGGTATCTAAAGTCGGTTGCTTCGCCAGCTATACTACTAGAATAGTCCTTCTTTCTTCGATCCAGTCCATGCTGTGTACTTTGCTCTTGTTGCTTACCAAAAGGTCAGGGCTTTGCAGTGAATACAAAATCTACCGTATCACATCCACTAAGAACTGCACATACCTATGAGTAGTCCTACGTATATTTATAACGTTATATAAGTTGCTCTCACGTTCAAGAACATCTGTTCATTTTACAAAGAGTTCTGAAACGCATGAAATGCTTGAAAGTAACAGTATCGTTCATTCTTCAAAAGAAATGTATCAGAAAGAAAATATGAATTGGCAACACAGACCACGCCAGTGTTGTGTTCGCTTTCTTTGCATATGGAAACGGTTTCAAAATGTCATATGGTCATACCAAAGCATCAATGGCGTAAGTAACAAAAATGTTTATCGTTTCAAACGTAAAACGGAGAATATTCTCTTTCATTGTGGCGTTTTTTTTTCTGACGGAAGGCCAACCCTATTAGCTATATGATAACCTTGCAGAAATGAAGCATTTGCCGCACACGTAGGACACGTAGGAGCAAGCGTGGGTAGTCTGAAGACGTGTTTCCAATAATCCCCAAGCAGATCCCAGGGTGGCGAAAGGCAGTATCAAAATTCAAATTGGCCATCCTTGGGTGGCGTATTGGACCCTCTCTGGCCAATGGATACTGCCTGGCCAATTTGTCTTTTGCCACCCTAGAATCTGCTTGGAGATTATGTTTCCATAGCCTTCTACGCGTGTGGGATAGGGACCGGTACCGTGGCCCATGCTGACATCGCAAATAAGCTAAGCCCCCACCCCACCCCAACACACACACTAGATAAAGTACTAGTATCCTACTGACACGAAAAGAGCAACAACAAACACAGTCACATGAAATCCCCACTTCCAAGTGACCCAACTGTGGCCAGAACTACCATGCGAAGATAGGGCTGAATAGTTATAGCAGACGCTACACACAGCCACAACATCAGACCTAGAGTGCTACCATCATCTCTTGAGATGGAAGGATGTCTACTACTACACTAGGTAGTTTTAGTTTGGAACTTGGGACTAAATTGCTTCTCCTTCTTGTCAAATCCTAACCACAGCGAAAAGAAAAGATAATGGAATTCTAACCCCTTAGGAAGGCCTGGTGTTGACCAGTTGGCCCTGTCCTTGGTGCTGAACTGAACTCATTTGACGGGCAACAAACTAAAACATGGTGTACCATTCCAGATATTGCTGCGTTTTAACCAGCAAAACATTGGTTTTCTTCGTTTTTTTATTGTACTAGCGAACGTTGACGTTGCAAATCCAAACGCTTTTGTTGGAGACACACTGGCTAGAAATAGTCTCCAAGGTACCGGACTTCTTTAAATTTTGCCTGCCAAGTGGACCCTCTATGGCCGGCAAACTCCTCTGGCCAATTATATCCCCTTTTAGGCCGATTTCTAGGATTTATTCAGCCTGCAAAAGAAGTCTGGTGAAGACTAGGTTTCAAACAAGCTCAAAACAAATTCACAGTAAAAATAGACCATGATACTATTGAATCGCTCCAGAAATCTCTCGCACGCTTCTTGTCGCTGTCATAAATACCATCAAGACCTGCAGTTCCTAAAATAGGAGGAAAGGAGCTATCTCTCCAGACCACTTAAAATCGCGTAAAGGGCTTTACGGGTTGGTTTCCAAGAAATACTGGCGTGCTCCAGACATATGCTGCACGTTTTGTTGCATGTAAGACCACAGCATGTAAATTTTATGGATGACATCCTTTGAAGAACCCCAAACTAGTGCGCGCGGGCGAATAAAAAAATAAATTCCGGTAAAAAAAAATGCTACTAAACCACAAGAATACAAAGCTGGTACAAATGTATTGTGAATTTGCGGCAGAACATAGCGACGTGTCACGACAAGCCGGCACATGTTGGCTTTGGGGGGAATTCATGAATCGGCACTGTGCGTATGTACATGTACTGAGTTCTTGCATGAGTCGTGGAGCTTAGGTAGCCTGGGTGCCCGGCTCCGTATTGTCGCTGACTACCATAGACTTCCCAGGCCTAGAGCCAGGCCAGAGCCTCGGGGGACGTGATCTTTTTTTTTCTTTGAGAGAGAGAGAGAGAGAGTGAGAGAGAGAGAGAGTGAGTGAGAGAGAGAGAGAGAGAGAGGAGGGAGAGGGAGAGAGAGAGAGAGAGAGAGGGAGAGAGAAGAACAGGCGAAAAGCAATGCGCGCGCGGATGTCATCCATAAAATTAAGGCGATGTGGCCTTAGTCGCATGTAAGCGGAATATCAACGCTAACCCTTGGGCTCTTGTGTGCCAACTGTAAATCTGTTGATGACGTCTCAGAGCGACGCAAATGCGCCAAACGAGCCACCTGACGTACGCACAGGTGACATTAGCAAAAAAGGCACGTCTCAGAAGTGCTAACAGTCTCAGCTAACGATATCAGTTTGTGAATGTATTCCAACATCAGGGCCCATCCCCCATCACTCAGCCGCGACGGGGGCCGACATAGCTTACCAGGTACCTTTGACCCAGTGTTGACGCCAGTGTTCAGAAAAGCCACGTGACCTTGTATTTTTTTTTTATTTAGTTGTTAGGTTATTTGCACTGTATATCGATATCCTTTGAATTTGTTATATATTCCTCTTCTTGATATCTTCGTGCATATAGGCCATGCATTAAGGATCAGATAAACTGAAATAAAAGAAAAACTTCCATGCCCGAAGGTACAATGCACACAAATAGAATTGTTATTCCTTTTCTTCACACTGATGCAGTTCATTCATGAATGCAATGTTGCACCGGCGTAGTGTACGTTTCGACCTTTTTCACCTTTTAACCTCCAGACAGTTTCCCGCTATATGGAAGCGTGACCAGGTTTTGGCGGCGGCCTTTTACGGTTGGTTACCGAGAGGATGTTTTCTCTCTCTGCAGCGAAACGCAGACAAGATATTCGGCGTGGATGACCGAGTGGTTAGGCTCGCCCAACACGCGATCGAGAGGTCACGGGTTCGTAACAGCAATACCATAAATACATAACGTCACAGACGCTATGGAAAACAACCTTCTTGACGCTGGTAACAGTAATGGAGCTACATACCTGTTCTATACATGTATATCCTCGAGAATTGTGTCGTAAAATGAAATGAAAACAAGTCGCCAGGGGGCCCATAATTTCGAGGTATCGCCAAGACCTACCTATAGCTACCTACCAAGTATCAAGAGAATCCATTTAAGTCTTCTCAAGTTGTCGTGTTTAAAGAGACACACACACACACACACACACACACACACACACGCACACACACACACACACACACACACACACACACACACACACGAACGCCTCTGAAAACATAACCTTCTTGGCGAAGGTAATAACAGCGACTTACATTGAGTTGCACCATCGGAAGACAGCCAACTGCTCTGTCAACATTCGCTCGACTCGGACTCGTAACAACTGTATATCTCAAACGTTTAAAAAGGCTGAACCTCTGAGCCGGTCCCCTCCTCGTGTGCTAACCGGATTGTTGGTGCGGAGAAACCGGCAGACAATCTCATCATTACGGTCCGCGGATTACAGCTTCGCGGGAAAAATCCCTATATTTGCCCAAACGGTGGGTGGCGTAATGTCTACCCATACCGCGCGTTACCTAGCAACGAAGACGCACTCTCGTACACATGTTTTTATAATCTTTTTTTTTTATATCTTTTTTTTTTTTTGCTCCCTGTGTATGGTAGCGTTTTTTCTTTCTTTTTTCTTCTTGGTTAATTTTCGGACCAAAACAAGCTATTTGATTCGGGAGGCGGTCCGTACAATCTTATTTCAAGGCCACGTGGCGCCAAATTTGACATGGGTGTTTACTGTTTACGTTCTAGAACGTTTGTTTTCTTCAGTGTTTGGCAAAGTAATTTAAAGATTTGACCAGAAAAGTGTGTGTGGGTAGATAGGGAGTGTCCATTTTAGAAAAACGTATTCCAAAAAATACGCATTCTTTCGAGTATTTTTTTCCTGCTAGCCAATACGCTTTCTAATCAGAAAATAATATTCTGATCTGTTCCTTGGTTTGTTGTTATGTATGTTGCTTTCAGTTCCTCGTAGC